AGTAGGCCCTGGGCCAGGACACCCCAACTGCCCGACCCCTAGCCCAGCACAGCCCCTCCTCAGCCTCCAGTGGGCCCCCGACCTCCAACGGACCCCCAACCGGGCCCAAGCCAGACCTCTGTAACCTCCTTGTCCGCTGATGATGGCCTGTCCTGGCCTCAGGGGGCTTCTAGGCAGAGTTCTTGGCCTGACCAGGCCCCCTTCAGTCTCTGGGCAGCCCCAACCCCCACCTCCCTCAGCAGGGTGCACGTCACTTCCTGGGGGTCAGGTTGGATTCCCACGAGCGATCTTGGATTTGTGCCAGGTCCTGACATCCATTGGACAGCCTGGCATGGGGGCAGGGCCACATGGCCAACATGCATGCTCTCGTCACTGATGAGCCCCCACCATTGCTGGGCACCCACCTGGATTTGACAAGACACATAGGACTTGGTTAACTTCCAGGTCACAGCCTTCAGGCTGCCCAGCACTGGCCCCTCCGGGAGGGCGTTTTTTCCAGCCGACCCCTTTGCACAAAGGGTCTTGTGCCCACAGCCTGGTCTGAGTATCCCCAGGAGACGAGAGAGCAATGAAGTGAGGGGCAAGGTGGCACCTTCGTCACCTTCGGGAGGGCAGGGAGCCAGTTAGGGGCCCCTGATGGGGGGTGGGGTACCTGGCAGGCCTTCGGAGTCCCTGCAGGAGGCAGGGGTGGGGTCACCGGTGCAGATAGAAGGCCCGGAGGTGAGAGTGACCCTGGGGAGGGTGGTCTGACAAGGGGCCCAGCCTGTGGGTGCTCAGACACAAGGGTTAGGGTGGGTGCCCCCAGTTACGGCAACTTGGAGCCATGAAACCTAAAAGGGCCTTGGTTACTGGCACTCTGTTACCGCCACCCAGTTCCACCTGCTGTGCCTCTTAATTCTGAATTTCCTTTTCAATCACTCTCGCACCACTGTCCAGTCTGACTCCACAGGACAGGGCAGAACTGCGCCTGTGGGTCTCCCAGGCTGTAACACTACGGGAGTAGAAAGCCTCCTTTTATTCTTGCGGAGCTGCGGGTGAGTTTGAACTGCTGACCTTGGAGTTAGCAGCCCGACTGGTAGCCCACTACGCACCAGGGCTCCTTCCCTCTTCACCATGAACCTTCAGCAGGCAGCAAAGCCAGCACCTAGCCTGGCCATCAGTGTCTTTACTGTGACCTCCCAGCTTGCTGCCCAGCTTCTGGAGGGCAGCCCACCGACAGGCCAGCTTCCCTCTCTTCTCTGCCATCTTGTGTCTTCATCCCCCCCTGGCTCTAGTCTGGAACCACCGGTGGCATCCTTCGGCGGGCAGAAAGGCCTGCGCCCACCCCACCCCTTTCCCTCAGTGCCTGGCACAGAGAGGGCAGACGCTCGAAAATTCCTGCTGTGTGAAAGGGGTTCCTTCAAAACCCTCAGCCTTTCCAACCCACGTGTCGGCGTTAATTGGATCTTATTTTCTCCGAAAGATTTTACAGCAGCTGAATGTTTTCACACGTTTGTAAAGGGCACTGAGAGCGCACACGAAGGCCTCTCACTCTCCTCTCTGTGTGCAAACATGGTGCAAACAGACACCCAGCCCTAGTCCGGGCTGAGGCTTGGAATGAGACCTCCCAGGGCAAGGAGGCAGGTAGGGGAGGAAGCAGAGGGAGAGTACCGGTAGGGACTGACTGAGGGCAGGAAGGTCCTTTGGCGGTGGTGGTTTGGTGCGTCTCATTGTTACTCAGAGGAGCCTGGTGGTGCTGGGATGGGACATGGGACGGCAAGGCTGATGATTCAAATCCACCAAACCCACAGCAAACTCACTCCCTCCAGTTGATGCCGGTTCACAAAAACCCTGTAGGACAGGCTAGAACTGCCTGCCTCTGTGGGTTTCCGAGACGGTGCCTCTCTAGGGAGTAGAAAACCGCTCTTTCTCCTATAAAGAAGGCCAACTAAACAACTCAAAAAACCAAAACTGAGCTCGCTGCCCCCGCGTGGATGCTGACTCACAGCCCCGAGGAGACTGGAGCCGTGGGTCTCAGCCTTCCTGTGCCGCGACCCGTTCAGAGGGCCCCGTGTTGCGGTGAACCCCCCCAACCATAACATTATTTTCGTTGCTACTTCATCACTGCAATTTTGCTACTATGATGAATCGGGCGACCCCTGTGAAAGGGTGGTTCAACCCCCAAAGGGGTCCTGACCCACAGGTTGAGAACCGCTGGGCTAGCACTAACTACCCGTGTGGGTTTCCGGGACTGTCACTCCTCAGTCTTTCTCTATTTGAACGGCGGGTGATTTCAAACCCGCCACTGACCTTGAGGCTAGCACCCCAGCTCATAACCCACTCTGCCACCAGGGCTCCCCTCAAACCCACCAGCCTCTTCAAAGGAGACAAATGCAGCTGTCGGGTCTCAGAATCTTTCATCTTGGACATCCTGTATCGGAAAGCAACGGGTTGGAATCAACATGCTGGCAGTGGGTCTGAGGGTTGAACTGTAAACTACATGCTGGGCTGGTGGTTCAAATCCACCGGCCGCTCCCAAGGGAGAAAGTTGAGGCTGTCAGCTCTCTGCATAGGGTCGCTGAGTTGGAGGTGCCTCGATGGCCTGGGGGTTGGTCTGGGGTTTGTCTGTTGGTACCGATTACACACCACATGGCGGCACCTAACTGGCTCCTGTAGCCCCAGATGCCCAATGTCCACTGGGGAACTTCATTCAAGTGTCTCCAACCCCCAAAGACAAATTCCACATTTTCCCCACATGTAACATGGATAATGTGCATAAGAAACTAAGCCGGAAGGGGCGGCAGTTTGCAAAAAGCAAACAAACAAAAAAGCCCCCAAAACATTGAATGTGTCATTTGTAGAAAACTGTGAAGATCAGATTTCTGGAAAATACCGATCTTCTAAAAACAAAAGGGGGTATAACTTCGGGTCCTAGATTATGGCCGACCTCGGTATCTGACATTTTGCTTTTGCAACAATTGTAAAAATCCTATTAGATTCTGTGAATGAATGATGTAGTCTGGCAGTAACACACTCAGAGGGGCTGGGCGGAAGTAAGGCAGGCCCTGATGGATAACCTTCACGGTTATCTGTCAGGCTGACTGAGCCATGATTCTCCGTGGCTTGGAAAGGACGTCATGATGCCATTTGGCAGTTATGTGGTGACATCACTTGGCGGTTCTGTCGGGATATAAGGGGCCTCTGTGTTGTGGCGTGATGTGCTTGTCTCCGCTTTTACACGAACGCTGGTTTTCCCTGGAGGACCGGCAGCACCTAGTCGTGTTGGTCAGTAAGGAGTGGATGTAAAACTAAAAAAAGAGGTCGTCAACATACAGCCGAACCGGCTTAACATGGAGATGCTAGACCCAAACCATGCCGTAGGCCGGGTCTGCTTTTGTACTCCAAACCAGAAGCCAGCCTTGTGGCTGAGTTGGATCAGACGCATGGTGGCTCCAGTTCTTAAATACCAGAAGTGCTTCATAGTATTTTCTGGGGCGTAACTGTATGGAAACGGGAGAGCTAGGCCTGCCTCCTCCTCCTCCTCGTTCTATTTTTTACAGTTGTATTGACATCTAACTCACATCTCATTACCATCGCTCAATAGTTCAATCATATCAGGAAGACTGTACAATCACCACAGTCAATTTTAGAAAGCCCCCCCCCCCCCTAAAATGAGCTCTGGAATGGCAATCAGTTCTAGTGCTCCCTCTCCCCTCCTGCCTTGTTGACTCCCAAGTCCCCTCACTCTCCCTATCTCCCACCCCACCCCTACAGCCCTGATTATAAATCCTCGTATCAGTTCTTATCTCTATGCCTCTGCTCCTTCTGTGCTTCCAAACTGGGATGCCTTACAGACACAGTCAACAGCAAAATCGAAATAAAGTAGCCAGGATAAAATAATCATCATCATTTAAAGATAAAAATTACAGATAAGGAGTAAGAAAGAAAAGAACACAATCACTACCTTAAACCCCGGGAAAGAAATGTTTGTCATTGAACACGCATGAGATACTCGCACCTACAACAAATTTAGATTGGGTCAATAGGGAGGTCAACTGACCAGCTATCAGGTTCAATCCGCATGATCAGATGACAACGATCTCTGTCTGATAGTCAGGCTTGTTCAAGACCCTTGCCAGTG